AATAAAATGACGGTGATAAAAAATGGCACGTAAAGTATTGTAGCATTCTCGAATCACCCTTCTCCCTTCTAGCTACAGCCATCAACATCTCAAAGAAAATTCTAAGCTAATTATAAAGACTAGGGATATGCACACAAAACGGATTTATATAGCATAGAGCGCTTTGACAAAATATTTTTTTTAAACTTAAGGGGAAACTTAAAAAATTTTTATTGCGGCTTTTTTTAAAGAATCGTGCTTTTCTAATAATATATGACCTAGATCCCTCCTGTCATTGCTCTCTATCTGTTCGTCATATGTTTCATCACAATCGGATCAGTCAATCCGAACATCAGCCTGGACACAGACAGACAGACAGACAAACATTTTAAAAATTGTTATTTGTCTTAATAACATTTAAATAACCCCCAGAGTTTATTATAAGCTAATATTTTAATAATACAGGCAGACACTTCAATTGTATTTGTAGGTATTGATATAGATTTACTTCTTCCATATCAAAGCGTTAAAAAGACAAATCAAAACTGATGTCGGGAAAAATCGATCATTGCTTTTAGCGGGCGATGCCCACAGGCGGGGCTTTATAAATGTATGGTAGGCATATATAATATTAGCATTTACGTAGTATAGAAACCATGGGGCAGCGTTTAGGTTTTTTTTTTTTAATTTCATATTAATTTAACTCTCTTCTATAAAGGAAGAAATTATCAATTTCATTTCCAATGTATTATATGTTACACGATGTCTATAAAGTCAGACAATCGATTTCGCCAATTTTTGTTTACCCATTTACTAAATACTGACGGCTCCGTAGCGCAGTGGCTTAGTAATAAGTTGCAGCGCCAAGAGCCGCGGGTTCGAATCCCGCACGGAACAAGTATTTGTATGGCCTACAAATAATTGTTCCGGATCTGGATGTTTGTCCTCGTAAAATTTATGTATGTTAACTGCCCCCACAATACAGGAGCAAATTCTTGTGTGGAGTTAACGTTTAAAAAAAGCAAAAAAACAATATAATGAAATGAAGAGAAGGAAGTGTCTCTATTTTAATTGCGTAAAGATAATCTAGGGAAACTTATAGTAAGGCTTATGTAAATGCAATACGAATTGAGGTAAATGCAATACGGATTGAAAAAAGCTGTTAAATTTCTGAATAAATAAAATTAAAAAGTTAATAATTTCACTGTTACCATTACCATTATATAACTTTACAGCCTATTAAATCCCACTGCTGAACATAGGCCTCCCCCATAGATTGCTTCATAGGGGTGTTGCCAACCGCAGATGCAATATGAACGTTACTGGTTTTAGGTGCTTCTTTGACAGCACCTAAAACCAGTAAAAAGAATCTCATGTTCTCTACACTTATCATACGAAACAGCAGCTTTAAGCTGTTATTTTACGTTGGTATGCTGTAAGAGTGTGGTCCTTCCCCGGTCGAGCCAACCCATTAGACTGCAACATCAAAGTATTGGAGTTAACGAAAATTCATACAACGAGTTTGATTTTCCTCAACAAATTTATTAGCTCTTCCGCTTACACTTTATTATCGAACAATCCAACAGTATAATTATTGATCAAATTTGGCGTAGCGTCCTATTTAACCTTCCTTCACTGTTGAAATGCCGACGAGCGAATGACTCCCCCGGTATCGTTTTACAAGTCATGTCTTTACCTTTCCGCATAGCCGGAAACGGTAAATACACGGACCGGATGTAGTCTTACAATGTTTTTCTTACTTTACGAAAGTTGTATTAAATTATACAAAAATAATATTAGCTTAATTATACATGGATTTTAATTAATTATATTTATAGTGATTCGAAGTTTTGAATAAAATCAATAGCTTGAGATTAATTAACCACCGGAAATGGCAATTTATATTATTTAGAATAAGGTAATCCCTAACAGCTCGGCCATCCTGTATAGCGCGAGACCCTTCGCGGTGTAATCTCGAACTACACACCAAGATTTTTTTTCACAATCTTAAATCTAAATTGAAGTACATAGTACATTTTTATTTACGGGAAACTTAATTACAATTCAGATTTATTCATAAAAGCTTACTATACTAATATAAAGTTTACTATATTTATATAACTAATATAGATATATATTTGGTTTATTAAAAAAAAAACTTAATAATTATACCTTATAATTATACATAATTTGAATAACTGAACATAATCACAAGCATTTAAAGTAAATAGAAAACAATAGTGACTTAATTACTTATATTATTAGTACAAACTCATATTTCGTGGGTTCCTTTACATTTGGTATTATTCTGGTTCATTATTATACTTCATTAGTAAGTCCATTGTCGCCAGTATCATCATCAGCATCACTTTTACTATTTGAACTATTATCAAAGTCCCTATCAAAGCTCATCCATGGTTGAATTTTGTCCAAAGCCACTGTTTCTTCGTACCTACGACCATTTTTACACGTGACAACGGCGTGTCTTCAACTATAAACCTATCATGAGGGAGCACTTTAATAATACGATACGGGCCCTGGTATTTAATTACTAATTTTTGCGATTTACCATCATGCGGGACTTGTCTTTTTATACGAACTAAGTCTCCTACCTTGTACTTTCTACCTGCTTTTCTATGCCTGTTATATCGATCAACATCTTTTTGCTGTTGCGCCTGAATACATTTCTTAGCCTCCTCCCTGACAGATTCAAATTCATCAGACGATATTACATTTAATGTATCATTGATTATTGTACTTAGGATTCCCTGACTTCTGTTATTTATATTAAAGCCAAATAAGAGTTCTGATGGTGATTTATGAGTAGTTTTGTGGACCGTAGTGTTAAGATCAATTTGTATGTCTCGAATGTGTTCGTCCCAAGCCTTTTCGTCCTTCCCATGATTTGATGTAGCTAATGCCTCTGTAATGGTTCTGTTGAACCGTTCCACCTGACCATTGGCTCTTGGAGTCGCAACTGCATTCATGACATGCTTTATTCCATACTCGGCAATAAAATCTTTAAAACTGTCTATTATAACTAATATATAACAATTTCCTACTTTACTTTTTATAAAAGGACCCAGGTGATCAGCGTGAATAGTATGAAATGGTATGCTATATTTTTTTATTGGGTGTAACTCACCTTCTCGTCTCCCACCTAGTACCTTATGGTGAGCACATTCTAAACAGGCTGAAACATACTTCTTTATGAACCGCCTCATGCGTGCAAACCAGTAGTGCTTTTTAATGCGTGCTAACGTTTTTTCATAACCGTAATGGCCAACATAGTCATGATTCCTCTTAACAATCTGCCACCGAGCTCCACTTGGCACAACCCATTTTAATTCATCACCTATAATGCGGTATACGCGTCCATTTTTAAGTTTAAAGTTTTTGCGGATGTCAAGTACATTCTCAGTATTCGGATCATTGAGTACGTTTTTTATTCTGGTAATTTCCTGATCTGCTGATTGCACGGTAGCGATCCAATCTTGTTCAGATTCAACTGACAGTACATCGAGAACGTGTGCAATCGTACTCTTGCAATTGGATTCACCACCGAGCAATCCGTGGCACTAAATCTCTCTTGGTTAAGGTCGACCTTAGTGCGTTACAGTCGGTTTGTACAGTAAATGGGATTCCAATGAGGTAAACTCTAAATCTCTGTAGGGATGCAATAACAGCAAGGGTTTCTAGCTCAAAGGAATGGTATTTTTGTTCTTCCGCGGTGGTTTTACGACTGAAGTACGTTACCGGTTGTAAAACTCCATTTTGATTGCGTTGAAGTAGGATGCCAGCCAAGCCATTTTTGCTGGCATCGGTATGAAGATGAGTCTCGACATGAGGGTCGTATAGAGCAAGTAACGGACGCTCCGACAATAAGTTTTTGATGCGGGTAAATGAGTTTTCTTGCGGTTCTTTCTTTTATTCTTTCTTTTTATTTAAAAAAACGTTAACCCCACACTAGGATTTTCTCCTTTGTCGTGGAGGCAGTTTACAAACAAAGTGCACAAGGACAAACATCCAGACCCGGAACAATCATTTGTAGGCCATACAAACACTTGTTCCGTGCGGGATTCGAACCCGCGGCCCCCAGCGCAACAACTGATTGCTAAGCCACTGCGCCACGGAGCCGTCGCACCATATCCATTCGTTTTTTTTTTTTTAGTAAGTCAGTGGGGCTGCTATTAATGCATAATTTTTAATAAATCTCCTGAAAAACCCAGAGAGGCCTAAAAATTGGCGCAATTCGTGCTGATTTCTTGGCTTGGGAAATTTTGATACTGCTTCGCATTTTCTCGAGCCCAGCCGTATACCATGTGCACTCACCTCAAAACCAAGGAAATCAATATTTTCGAAAAAGAAGTTACATTTACTTAGTTTTAATGTGAGGCCACCTTTCCTCAATAAACCCAGTACTTTTTTTAGTCTTGTTAAACCTTCGTCAAACTCTTTAGATGGTATTAAAATATCGTCCATATATATTAAAGTGTATTTAATTTTGGCCTCGGATAAAATATTATTCATTGTCCTCTGAAAGTATACGATTGGTTCCGAGTCTTCGAGCTCAATAACCATTTCGGTTGCATTAGTGAGTCCTAAGTCCTTCAGACTACTCGAGAAACAGTCGAGAAATTCGGTCAATGTATTTTGAAGTAACAGTCGTTGCTCGGTCGTCAAATTAGGATTACATCTATTTCAGTTTTACTTATAGTAATTTCGCAAATGTCTGCAGTTAGATGTATTTGGGTAGCCCTTGTCGTTGGACACGTTATAAATCAGCAACGCACATTTATTATTTCTTACGGTGTATTCTCCCGGTAGAAGATAGTATTCTTTGCCAGAGGACCCTCGAGTCGACCCACTTACATAGACGTATCCGTTGTTCAATGATTCGCAGTAAACGGGCACGGTACGTAATCTATTAATGGGAATTATTACTCTGTTCTGCGAAATCAAATGAACCTTTTGATGTTGGATTTTTTTTAATATAATCTCATCTGGAGATTTGGTAATCACTATCTCCGGTTTCTCGGAGAACGAATGACCCAGTAACAATGGATGTCGATGACTTCTTTGATATCCTGCACTTCTAGCGCGGCTATTATCAATCCCAGTGGTCGAACAAGATTTGCACCAATACCCCTTAAGGTAGGCAACTCCGCGTTTTTAATTATACTCACATCTAGTAACTTGGCATCAGTTTCTCTCACAAGAGAACATTGGCTACCCAAATCATAATGACATTGAAATGTTTTATTGTTAACTTTCACATCCATTACATATTTATCATTAGTTTTATCGGTAACACTAAGTTTAGAAACCTGTTTTTCGTTTATGTTGGCGGAGGTGTTACTAGAAACTTCCTTGTTTTTGTTTCTATAACAGTTTGACAACTGGTGACCAATCCTATCGCAATTCGTACATTTAATCAATGGTTTCTCGCATTTAAAACTTGGGTGGCCTATCATGTTGCAATTAAAACACCGTATGATACAGTTATTTCCAGCAAACTTCGAAAAAGATGGCTTGTTAACGTTAACATTTTTATCTAATCTATTCTTCCTAAAATAATCGCTACTGTCCATAGAGTTTCCGACCCTAATAGACCTAAAATATTTAAGGACTTTTTCTGGTTCAGAAAATTGTGCTGCCTGTGCTCCAACTTTTACAGCACGGTCATCAACGCCATGAAGTAGACAATCTACTGCTTGCCTACCGCTTATTTTGCAACGATTTAACAGATTAATTTTAGAGTAATAATAATGTTCTAACGACTCGCCATACCTAACCCGCTTGTTCAGCATTTCTGTAAGGAGTTCGGCATAATCTTCGCGACACGGAAACGATTCGATAAGCTTTTTCTTCCATTCCGTTCAATTATACAACAAAGATGGAAGACCTTGATACCATGACCTAGCAACACCGCATAATTTCGGAAGTGAATAGTGAATTATTTCCTTTTCGTCCCAACCATAGTTCTCTGCACATTCTTCTACTTTATTAATCCAAGTGAGTATGGTCTGTTCCTTTGTCATGGGATCAAAGTCTGGAACGACGTTATTATTGTAAGATAGTCTGGGTTTATCCGAACTCCTTACGTCTTTAATTATGTGTAATGTCTGCTATCTTCTCTAACCACTGTAGTGTAACACAGGCTCGGCACGCACTTTAACTAAACAACACGTCCACTCTCGCCCGAGGCTCTCGTGTAACTGACGCGGTGCGCTCGAGACAGTGACTTATATATAAATGTATGTTTGTGTATTTGTGCATGGTAAATTATTAGTAAATAAAACAAATAACAATATTTACTGTATACTACAAATAAGCAAACACTACATCTCTTTCTTATCAAGATTTTTTTCTTTTTTTCATTATAACTCATAACAATCACAAAGCAGCTTGTATTGTCTGTATTAATTATTTTCCACTGCTTTTACGTAAACCTTATCTCCCTGTATTATATTTGAGCGAGTTGCTCTGCGTTTCCTATATACATACTCTTTTCCTTTTTCTTTTTTGTATTTTGTCTCTATCCCTGATATCTGAATCTAAATGATTGTCTGTAATTTATTTCACCTATTGATGGAATTTTATCCCTACTTTTTCGGTGAAAAAACAGTTCAGACGCTAACTTCCCGGTAACTGTAAGGAGGGGTGCTGTTATACATTAGAAGATACTCCCATAAACATTTCTTTTAAATCCTTCCTCTCGATCTGGTTGATACGAAGACGTTTCAAAATATCTCTGTTTTGTCTTTCAACTTCGCCGATCATTTGAGGCCAATATAGTACAGTACTAAATAACTTAATGTTACATTCTTTGCAGAAGGATCGAAACTCTTCACTCACGAACTGCTTGCCATTATCTGCGGTGATAGAAATAGGATAACCAAGTCTACTGAACATTTCTTTTACCATTTTAATAATCTGTAAGCTTGTGATGTTTTTGTAATTGTTTACTTCTTTGTATCGACTATAGTAATCGACCACTACTAACAGATACTCGTTACTTGGCAATGGTTCCATTAGATCCATTGTGACATCTATCCATGGAGCTGCAGGCAACTCTCGTCTCTTCATTGGTGCAGTTGGGTTTGGCAAACCCACTAACGTACAACATTTACAAGCCTTTACTAATTGTTCTACGTCTTTATCGATACGGGGCCACCATACCTTTGATCTCCAGCGTCCCTTCATCGCTACGATACCTGGATGACCCTCGTATGCAGCATCTAATACACTCTTGCAGAGTTGCTGTGGTATTACAATTTTATTTCTACGAAGTAGAATGCTATCATGGAAACACAACTCGTTTTCAAAAAATGTGTAACTCTTAATTGAATCGTCCCAGTCGTTCTGATAGACACCTTTTTTCACTTTGTAAATTTCTTGTTCTTTTTCTGAATATGCTACAATGGAACTCATTGGTATAGCAACTGGTCTAGAATCTTCCACTATTTGGTACACATGCTGGTCTTTTCCTTTTGGTGGGTTATCAGGATAGTTACATAATCGTGACAAGGGATCAGCTATATTTGTTTTTCCTGGCTTGTATATAACCTTGAATGAATAAGACTGTAGCCTCAGTATCCATCGTTCAATCCTCGCACATGGTTTTGACTTAGACCCGAACAATATCTCTAGCGGCTTGTAGTCCGTGACTAAATCAAAAGGCTTTCCAAATAAACATATTAAAATGTTCGACCCCCCCAACTAATGCTAGTGCCTTTTTTTCCGTTTGGCTATACCTGCGCTCGCAGTCTGTCAAAGCTCGATTACCATAGGCAATAATTCTAGGGCCATTTGTATCATTTTGTACAAGGACAGCACCAAGTCCGACAGGGCTAGCATCTGCTATCACCTGTCTTGCATCTCTGACGTCATAATACCCTAAAATCTGTATTTCCGTGAGCATCCGTTTGAGTTTTTGGAATGCTTTATCTTGTTCTCCAGACCATTGTTTTTCCAAGCTCTCCCTTTTGCTCATCTTCTGTCTTAACAGGTGCTTCAGAAGTTCTGTCATGGCGGCCAAGTTAGGTATCCATTTGTTTATGTAGTTTAAGAGTCCTAAAAAACTTTGGAGTTCTTCTATGGTCTTTGGGACCTTAAATTTAATAATGCTCTCAACGTACTTGTTGAAGGGTTTACTCCTTCATGTGTAAGCCTGTGTCCCAGAAAATTTACATCCTGCGTTTTATATATGCATTTATTGCTATTCAGCACGGCGTTGTTTTTACTAAGTACCTGTAGAACTTTCTTTAGTCATGCGTCATGTTCTTCTTCACTGTTCCCGAATACCAGGATATCATCAATAAAATTGACGACCCCTTCATAGTTTATCAGCATCCTTTCAATGATCTTCTGAAAAATCTCGCAAGCGTAGGTAATTCCAAGCATTATTCTTTTATATCTATATAATCTTTTGGGGGTTATAAAAGTCGTTATGTGTCTGGATTCAGAGTGAATTTCCACTTGATGGAAGGCATTTTTTTATGTCTTAATTTGTTAAAATATTTAGCTTTCTTCATTTTAGGCAAAAATGGTCCATAGTAGGCAGGGGGTGGTTTTCTTGCAATATAACAGCGTTCGTACATCTCATATCTACGCACAAACGTAATTCACCATTTTCTTTCATGATTGGAACATTGGTGAAACCCATTTAGACGGACCTTGCACTTCTTCAATTATAGTATCACTGTTTAGTGATACCTTAATTTTGATTGCAACCTTCTCTTTAAAGGGGATCGGCTTGCTTTTACTCTCTACTTGATTTATCCCGATACCAAGTTTTAAGACACCCAGTCGGACTGCTGTGTTCTTACCAAACAGGTTTCTAGTACCCCCCGAAATCACGTAAATGGTTGTATGTTCCTTTCGTCCATCGACTTCGAGTATAGTTTCAAATGAACCCTCTATTGCCAAAGGAGAGTTACTACCATATGCTAATAATGTCTTGTCTGGTCTTTACATTTGATTAAAAGCATATACTTTTTTGCTTTTTAACTCTTCCCACGTTTTGTAAGATATAAGGTTCTTGCGCAATTTCGAATTACACTTTTCCACAATTTGATCTATGAAATGATCATCTTGCTTTTCGATACACTTTTCGGCTTGTTGACGCAATCTTATCAAAAACTTCTCAAATGTCTCTCCTTTTTTCTGTTTTAGCAATCGAAAAACATGCCGCTCATAAACTTTGCTCCGTTTAGGTTGAAAATACTCGTAGAGTTTTTTTTATGGCTACTTAAAATACATCAACGGTTTCTTTTATCCCAGAGCCACCAAAATGCAATAGCGTAGCTCGTTTCTCGAGTGCTGATATAACTTCAGCTACGTCCAGATAGATTAGTAGAGACCTTTTCCATTTTCCACACCTTATAGCCATAGATGTGCTATCACATTAAAGCTGATAACGGTATCATTATTATTATTATTTTAGGGGTAAACTGAAACAGTTTCTTATATTTTTTTTCCAATTTAATGCTGGTATTTTAATACACAAAGTCCAATTTAATGGTAGTAACTTAGTACACAAAGTCCAATTTAATGGTAGTAACTTAGAACCCAAAGTCCAATTTAATGGTGGTACCTACCTTAGTACCCAAGCTCCAATTTAATGGTGGTACCTACCTTAGTACCCAAGTTCCAATTTAATGGTGGTATCTTAGTACCCAACTCAATTTAATGATGGTATCTTAGTACCCAACTCAATTTAATGATGGTATCTTAGTACCCAACTCAATTTAATGATGGTATCTTAGTACCCAACTCAATTTAATGATGGTATCTTAGTACCCAACTCAATTTAATGATGGTATCTTAGTACCCAACTCAATATAATGATGGTATCTTAGTACCCAACTCAATTTAATGATTGGTATCTTGGTACCCAAACTCAGTTTCATGATAATAATATGTTCCATAACACTCGCCCTTCTCTTTCGGTTTATTTGTTATACCGACTACTTCTATCGCTGTGCCATTTAGGCTTTGGGTAAATTCAATACCTATATTGCGCATTTACCATTATTGATAACTTAGACAGCAATACCCTCGAGAAACGCCGTAATATAAGAGATCAAATGTTGTTGTACAAATTGCTTCATAATATCATCGACTCTCCCCTACTTTTAGGCAAGGTGAATCTTGCGTGTCACAGGTTAGGTGCACGAAATAAACCCCTTATTGCAATGGTTAAAACAAAAAAATTCCTCAAATAATTTTGTATCTCGTACATGCAAAAAGTTTAACTTAAAATATTGTAAATATTAGATATTTTTCACCTTGAATATGACAGTTGCAAAGAAAATATTGTAAAACTTAATATATAATTGGTAGTATCACTTTGAGTTGTATATATAATGTTACTTTTAACTACTTACTACTTAATGTTTTAATTTATGAATACCATTTAGCTTGTTTTATTCTTTTATATTTTTAATTTTATACAACATAATATTGTGGTTTGCTTTTATTATGTATTAGATATCTGTGGAAACTTCATTGGTTTTTAGGATTACTTTTATATGTTTTATTATGTAATTTATTATTGCACTGTATGTTTCCCTTAAAAAGCAAATAAATAAATAAACAGTATTACTAGTTACCTACTTTGCAATGTACAGAAGTCGTGAAGTGTCCACGATTTTTTGTAAGACTTATATATGCCATGAAAGCAGTAAAATAGTATTTTCATTAAAGGCGATAAATATCACACCTACATGTTAAATGCCACTAAAATTTAGCTAACGACATTGTATTTCGGTTCGAATCGAGAGGAGTTTTTAGTAACATCTACTAT